TTGATCAAAGGATCGGCTTCACTCTTCTATTTGATGAGTTGTAGTATGTTGGTAAGACTGGCAAGACTCACTGACGATGCAGGCGAAACGTCTGGGAATGTACCACGTCCACGGTCCGAATGGAAATTAGCATGCATACAATGGACTCCCGACTAGATGCGTTCCTCTAAGTCTTCCTACCATATGACCGAGTTGCGAAAACACGGCCAAACAACTTATATGAGAAATTCATGTTCGAAATTCACTCCTGCTTAGCAAACAAATATGTGCATCTACTTTTTAAATTCCCGCGCCCCAGCCGCAAATACCCTTGTGGTGCTGAAAAGACGAACAAATCTAAATCGCAATTAATTATAGGTGAGAACATATTATATTTATTAATGGATGGAATCGCTTCGAATAAATTGTAACAGGAAGATCTATTCAGCAATCAAACTTATCGGACAAATTAGGGCGCAAAATTCATTAAAAAAGAGGAAACAAGACACTTAGGTTTTCAGATCTACAAATCAGCGTTAACAGCTAGCACTATAAGCTCGGAAATATTTATGAATAAAAAGCCAAACTCTGGGTGGACTCATTCAAATTATCAACACAAATATATACCGTATTTTCCGGCGTATAAAACGACTTTTCACACCATAGATTTCTGCTCCTAAGTGGGGGGTCGTCTTATACGCCGAGTGTAGCTTAGGGATCGCTAATTATACTATGGTTCCGAGCTCCTGTTGTGCCCCTTACCTCCTTAAAAATTTATTTTTACTGGAAAAGTCAGGGGGTCGTCTTATACGCCGGAAAATACGGTAATCAAAGATTTACATGTGTGTAGCTTAAGGCGTCGTGCAAGCTCACTTTTAACATTAACCACTCTTCCAAACTGTATTTCCATCTCGAGCGGGGGAGGAGTCAAACAGATTGGATCCAAATCCAGACAGAAAATGCGTCTCGTTGGCGAAAGAGCTCCTCCCGAACTCTGTGCATGCGAGAACACTGTTCCACTGCTACTAGAGTCTACTGCTGCTGCTTCCGATGCCAAAGAACCGCAAGATGCATTCGATGAGCCAACAGCAATGCTAGAGTCGGGAGAACATCCAGCCGCCGCTGTTCTGTTAGAGTAGCCAATCGACTGTTGGTCAACCCCGACATTATTAATAATGCCACCTCCTTCGGGAGTGCCTGGAGTTAGAGAAGAGGAGTTGAGCGAATGTCGGCTATTGTGATGGCCTTGAGTGACAGATTGATATTGGGATGAATGATGTAATGCGGAATGTTGTTGCGAGGCCAGCTGTTGATGAGTTGCGTAGTGTGAGTACTGCTGTGAAACTGTTTGGGAATGAACGGGCTGAGTGGAAGACTGCTGCTGTTGATTTGACTGAATGTTATTAAGGTTATGCTGATTATAGACAGGCTGACTATGTTGTTGCTGATGACGAGAGCTGGTATATGACAGGAGAGAATTAGAAGGAGGACAGACAGAGTTCGTGGGGGAAAGATCGCTTGCTACAGAGCCAGATGACGCTTCAAACACCCGCGAGGTAGAGGCAATTGCTTTTGTTAGACCATCCTCTGATGCGTAGAGACTGGAACTCGACATCTTCTCCTGCTCAGGTTTGCTTGTCATTTGAATATTTTGTGTAGATGATGGTCCAGTGACGGGAACATCGTGACAACAGGTGCACATACATGAGTGAAAGCGCAATCGTGCTTCCTCGAGATAGGGATGGTTAAGAGCCTCTTCGGTGGTGAGACGTTCCTCCTAAATCGCATATAAAAGTTGCAATGTACAAAGATCATATAATTAATTCTTGTTAATATATCGTTTTTTATAATAGTCATGGAAATAACGCGCACTAGGTGATAATATAAAGCGATTTCCTATTTTTCTCAATTGGAATCTTCTAATTCCAAATTAAAGACGATGCTCCAGACTAGCAAATGCAATCTTCAAAATAAATCAAACTAAACCTTTATTTACGACGCGTAATGCCCCACATCTAGGACACGCCTGTAGACAAAGGCGGCATAAATGAGACAGCAATTCCCTATAATAAACCTCTAAAAAATTAACAACTACCGATCGTCTATCGTATCTAGTGACACAAATTATTTTTGCCGTTTGGGCGCATAGGAAGTCGACCAAGTTGAAATATTACATCTTTGATAGCATCAATACTATGCAATAAAGAGGATAAATTTCATTTAATTATGCATTCCAAGATAATTAAAAACCCGAAGCAACAGAAAGACGGATGATCACCTAAACAGCTAGAACATAGGCTAAAAACCTAGCAGATGTAAGAATGCTTAAAGCTAACTTCGTCTTGTATCCTACTAACACATGAGTCTGGTCAATATAAGCAATAAAAAAATAAGTGGAAGGATCAGCATCGACCTGGTATTCCGTTAACTCAAGACAGCTTCTAGGCAAAGGATAGTCTGAATGACGAAGAATGGAAGGTTTTATTCTAAGACGTTTCCGCATCTATATAAGTAGTAGATTAGCTTTATTCATTTATCAAGATCATTATTTTTGTGACGAAATATTGGAATCGCAGACTAATTTCCGTTAAATTCCTTGTAAATAACGGTGAGACTGAGGAAATTTGCTCAACTCTTATATCCCTTAATTTCCATAAGTAGCTTGATAAAAGAGGGCGAAAGGCCGCCATGATGCGCCACCATGCACTTGCTGCAATAAAAACGATGATCAAATCTGGTTATAAAATAAACTCTTCTAGGCAGCCTAACCATTGTTTTTAGAATCAAAAGCTACTGGAATAA